AAAAAAAAATCACGGCGGAGCCAACCCCTTTCTACCGTTTTGGGTATGTCCTCCCCGTCGGCCCTCTAAGGCCCAAGACTACAACGGGCTTACATACGCGATCGTTCGTAGTCCAACACGCAAAGTTCTGTAACGGGCTTACGTACGCGATCGTTCCCAGAACTATCATCTACTCTATAATCTCAAACAATACTTTTTACTCTTTAACATTTTTTAATTACCAAGCAATTTCCACACATCAAACAATCCTTATACTAACAATCAGCAAGCATCAAACATTCCTAGAATTAGCATAGATAACCACAACAAACATTCCATTCCTAGACTAGCATGTAAGAACACCTAATGCTAACTAATACTAAAGTAGCGTGGATCCCACCCTCACCTTAGCCTTTCGGATGATCAAAAAAATGAAGAAGTGAACCTAGAAGGACGTGACTCTGCGTTCTGGGCGGTTGGCGTCGGATTTAGATCGGACTGGGAAACCAAAACTTGATCTGAAATCCTTGTAACGTCAGGTTTCCAATGATACCAAAATCGTAATCTAACTCGTTCTGTATCGGCGTACACCTTCCTCCAAAGTTAGCTCTCAGAATCCAAATCGGAAAAGAGCTCCAGAATCTACGAAGAATCCTCTTTCTAACGGTATATAGATCGTCGCCTAACTCTTCACGGATCGCCGGAAAATCGCCCCGAAAGTTCACTGGTCGAATCTGAGACCAAAAATTCAGATTCAGATAACTGAGATTTTTCCCGATATTCAAACACGAATTGCGAGCAGACCGTACCTCGTAATTAGAATCGGAAAGAAGCTGTAGAAACTAGAATCGGTGATCTTTCCAGATATGAAATAATCACGATCTAATTCCTTCTGAGCCGCCGGCAATCAGCCCTGAAAAACAGCTACTCGGAACTAGCTTAACTGAGAAGGCAAGTGGGAGACCAATAGGGATTTTCTCTAGCTGCGCAACTCTGATCCTCCTCTCACTTACGTGGCTTATTATAGAGATAAAGGGGACTCTAGGTTAGGGTTTCACTTAGCACTTGGGCCACACGTAACGGGCTTTTTAGGTTTTGGGGGATTTTATGGGATTGGGCCATGA